CGCGCGGGAACTTTAGAAATCGCAAAAAACCATGGGTTTTTGCACCTCGACCACGCCGATCCCCGCAGAGGGTCGATTTTCGTGTAGTGTCGTCGGCACTACCCCGCCGCCCTAAGAAGAGATTTTAACTCCTCGCAAGTCAATTGCACTTGACTCCTTGCACTTGCAACTTGCACTCGACTCCTTACACTTGCAACTTGCACTTGACTCCATGCACTTGCAACTTGCACTTGACTCCATGCACTTGCAACTTGCACCTGACTCCTTGCACTTGCAACTTGCACTTGACTCCTTGCACTTGCAACTTGCACTTGACTCCATGCGCAGCTCGCAATGACTCTCATGACTCCTTGCAATGACTCCTTGCAATGACTCCTTGCAATGACTCCTTGCAATGACTCCTTGCAATGACTCCTTGCAATGACTCCTTGCAATGACTCCTTGCAACTGCAATGACTCCTTGCAATGACTCCTTGCAATGACTCCTTGCAATGACTCCTTGCAATGACTCCTTGCAATGACTCCTTGCAATGACTCCTTGCAATGACTCCTTGCAATGACTCCTTGCAATGACTCCTTGCAATGACTCCTTGCAATGACTCCTTGCAATGACTCCTTGCAATGACTCCTTGCAATGACTCCTTGCAATGACTCCTTGCAATGACTCCTTGCAATGACTCCTTGCATTGACTTTCATGATGATGATTCCTTGCAATGACACCTTGTAATGACTCTCATGAGAACAACTCAAGTGAACCCAGCGGAAGAACCCTTCGCCATGCTTTCGGGAACTAAAATGGTAAAGGCATGTATCCACAGAAGCTGAAAGGATGCTCACTAAACAGATCAGCCAAATCACCAACAGCAAGCAATCACCCAACCAACCATTCGTTCAATCACCCACGAACCAAAGAAATACCGTCCAGTCCAATCAAATCAAGTCAATCAACCGACCAATGAAGCATGTCAATCAAATCACGATCAAAGACAACCAAACTAACTCAAGACAGCAGATCAAAGCATCAAACCATAGCAACCGAACCAACGCCCCAAGGAAGCCAAGTAAGCAAACAGCCAGCCGGAGCCGCTGTGATTAGCTGAGCCATCGGACCCTTCGGCGGCCCAGGCCTGTCAACGCCGGAAAGCGAGGCATCTGGGTGCCATCGTCTACTTCAGCTTCAATTCCATTGATACCCATTTGGCTCAAGTGCATCTGGGTCCCTTAATGTCTGGTTTGTACATCATGAATTTCATCTTTCGCTATCACTCTATTGAATTGTACCAACCAGAAATTTAGGGACCCCCAAGAGAGAGGATCCTTTGGTGTGGGTGAAGGCCACAGATTTGCCCAGACATATGGTGGTGCTGCCTTCATCATGTTCGTCCTGTTTTGCTTGCAAAGGAACCCAAGGAATCCTTTTTTGGGGGCCCTTTATTTGGAGACAAACCCAAAAAGGCAGTTGTTGTCACGGCTTTGAGCGTCCAAGCGCGCCAAGCCCCACCTGCACCCTGGTCAAGAAAAAAAGGCAGGTCTAAAAATAGCGGCGCTCACATATTTTGGAAAAAGTGAAATTCAAAAGGGAGCCACAAAGTGTCCGCCAATCATATTCGAGTGTATGCCCCATTCAACCTCATCGCTGCTTCACAAGTTGATTTCACGGAAACAACTGCCCGGACCTTCCGGATCCTGATCTGTACAGGGATGCGCCTGAGATGAAGATCGCTCCTGAGACTTCCGCTGGTGAACTTGAAAAAAGCCCCTCGAATCCAAACTGGCTCAAATCGTCCGCTTCAGTCACCCCTAACCCCTCGCCCTCCCACCCTACACACCCCGGCCTGGATCGGCGAGGCTGCGGCTGGTGTAAGCCGAAATGTGATCAAGCAAAGTGCAGGCGCTTCGGGAAGTCTGCAGAGGTAGACTCCTGCTTGATGAATCATGAGCTTAGTGGCTGTCGTGCGATTTCTACTTGCACAACATCATGTGGGGCACTTGTAAGAGTGTGTGCTGCTCCCTGGACAGCAGCAGGCAGCAGCTAAAGCCCAAACAAGAGCCATGGCCACTTTTCGCCCCGGCCAATCGGACCTCGCCTTTTGCTCCGCTGGCTGGACGACTGTCCTAAGGCCCGTGGAGTGGTTGGAAAACATGGAACTGTGCATCAGCCACCCCCCGCTGGCTCTCATGGCCTCACCGCTCTATTTGAAGAGGGTTCGCCCGTCACATGCATACATCAGGCCGATGTGACAAGGAATGGATATGTTTGTGAGGTGCCTTGACTCATACTACCATCTGTCCTTGAGCTAGTGTGTCATCCATACCTGCCAGTCTGCAAGCAGAAATCGGGTGGCGTCATGCAGAAAGCAGCCTTGACGCTTGCGCAGCCTGCCCATCGGCCAGGTCACAGATGATCCCAAAGATCACCCTTGGCAGCATGTCCCGAGCAAAAGGTCAAAAGGTGTATGAACTGAATGGCTGGGCAAAGCGTCGATGCATGTACATGGTCCACTTCAAAAATGAGGCATGCCCTGGCCGATTCAAGCAGCCAAACACGCCTGGACCGAATGTGTGCTTAGGATTCCGAATTCCTAGGCCCCAAAAAATGATGTTGTCAGCAGTTGGGCCTTCCAACTGCCCCGTGCGAACCAGACAGAAACCATGTTCATGTTCAAACGCGACATTGGATCACGAAAACCCTGGCATGTGCAGCATTCATCGAAAGAGTTCATCCTCACCCTGGCGGGATCCAGCCCACAAAAGGCGATGGCAACATCACTGAGGCCACCGAGTCGGACGGACTCTGTGGCGCTCGTTGGCCCATGGCTTTCCACTCGCGACCTGCAAGACCTCCGCGGTCGTCAAATCCCCACACACGGTTGCAAACTTTGGGTCTGGCTAACTCTTAGGCGAAGGGTTGCACAGGCCCAATCGCAAGTCTCAAGGGCGGTTTCATGTTCACGGCAGACCTGTTTCTCCGTGCTCACTGCCATGATTCGCTTGCCTGCCATGAATCAATCCGCGAAGAGCTGCTATGCAGCATGCCTTCCAGCACCGGCACGTGCTGTGGACTTCGGGACGTGGGCCACCATCCTGTGATCTGCTTTGTGCTATTGGCTTGCTTGCGGTGTGCAGCATTCCCAGTTGCTAGTGCTAACAAATGAGATCACCCGAACTAGGCCACTTGCTATCAGGCACATCACCCTTCAGACAACGTCACTGCGCTGGTTTTCGCGATCGGCCAAGTACTTGCACAACAATCGGACATATGCAGGGAATTACGCTGGAACTGTGCTGCGATCGGCTGCAACTGCAACGGAATTGCCTTGAAAGGGTGCTTCAGCAATGTTGAACTGCCTAAGAATGTTGAGATGCCATAGAATGAGCTTTTGCTTACGAGGCAACACCGCTCCAAGCCACCTGTTGGTTTGGAGCGACCCATATCGCTTTATGACAGAAGGGGTCAACTGATCAGCTCTACTTTGTAGCAGGAAAGGCCAACACTCACAAGCCGCTGGAGGTGGAAAACCTTGAGCGAGGATATCTGTGCCGCCAACCTTCGGTTGGGGTTGAACAAAGGGAGCGACGCTTGATGCGCTTTGTGAACACGGCTCCCGAGCCGCCCTTTGGACCATGCGGTCCCAAAGGGCGGTGAAGAGGGAAAGCCTCCACCTAAGTTCCAAGAAGTCCATGTTTGTTGAAGCATCTTTAAAAATAGGTCCGCTCTCTTGAACAATGTAACGCATGCACTCAAACTCAATGCCCACGTTGGACAACATGCCGCCAAATAAACACCATGCACCTTGGACACAAACCGGTGCAACACAACTATCACGGGATGCATTTGAAGTTGCCTAACAGACTCAATACAAGTCACACAACCAAACCCCGACGTGTGCCAAACAGCGTGTCAAAGCTGGGAACAGCAGTCTCTTAATGAAACCAATATGAAACCGACTATACGCAGGGATTACCATTCTTGGCATTCCTTCTTGGCCCAGGTGTTCTTTCTCTCCTCACTCCGCCTAACGCTTGCCCACGGAAGCGGGGGCATCTCCTGCGAGACAGTCGAAGCTTATGGACCCTGGAGCCGTGAGAAGAGGAATAAGGCCATACGTCCATGGCGGGCTTTAAATCAACCATTCGAGCTTTTGTCTTGAAGGGAAACCAACTTGAAATCGAGCATTTGGATGCTTCCCTCTTTCTGACACATTCAGAAGAAGAAGAAAAATAATAATAAAAAGGTGTACCCATTATGTTGGTGGCAGTTGCCTTGACGTCAGCAAATGACAGCGAATTGGACTGCAAACCATGCCACAGTTCTGATGAAGCTTTGCGAGATCCAAAAACAGGGTGAGCTTCATGATGGTGCATGCCCTGACCGTCCATCTTTGGACGAGGCCAAAACCGACCCTTCCTTAGCCAAGAATCCGGGGATTTTCGCAACTACTAAAATGGCTCTGTGTGTGTGTGTGTGCGAGTCAGAGAGAAACGGGACGGTTGTGAAACGGAATCTACATGAGACCGTTTCCATTTGAAAAATTCAACTGACTTTGATTCACATCCCCAAATGAACGAGAAAAACCGACATGCCCCCTTGTGAAACCAAAGAAGAGAAAAACACTACATCCAATCTGGCATGCCCCTGGTTTTGACATGTTTTGACACCTAAAACCAATACATGTCCATTGGCGACTGTCGATGCCGTTGGGCGCCGGCAACCCCGAAAAACAGCTCGTTCCCAGTTCCCAGCTCCCCGCTCCTTCGCCGATCCAGTTGGCCAGTGCCTTCAGGGTCCGCACGGCCGCACGCTCGCCTGAAGACCAAGGGAGGGTGAGTGAAATTGGCGCAAAAATGACAAAAACCTGAAAGGAACTCGCCTTGGTTCACCGATGCTGACGACCATGCGGGATTCTTCACAGTGAGGAGAAGGCCCGGAGAACAACGGTCGGGACCGACGTGTCGTTTGGCGCACTGAAGATGAAGGCTCCGAGAGCCCTTTCAGTGGAGCAGCCCAAACCTCTCCTCCACTAAGACTGAAACCCTCCCCCAGCTAAATAGAGACTCTAGACCAAAAAACTATGCTTTCCCGAAGAAGGCTCTAGGTAAATAAGGTCTAGCCACACATACTCCAATCCTCGCAGGTCAACTCCCATGACTGGAGTGGGCACCCTTGTTTCGAAGAGACATATTCTCACTTCAAGTCCTGCACCCAACAATTGAACCAAGAAGCATGCGTGGTTCGGAAAGGGACCTCATCGCCCTCGCAGTTTTAGGAGACCCCTTCTTGGAAAACGAGCTCCCCCCCCTTGCGGCGTTTGGTGACGCAGAGCTCCGGTGGCGGGGAAAACAGAGCAAATTAATATTCGGGGAGGCTGATTTAACGGCACGGCTCCCCCCAACAAACGAACAAAGGGCACAACGCGAGGCTTGGGAGGCGCATTAGTCAACCACGGACACGGCACCTCAGATGTGGACATGTCCAGGCTTGCCTGTTGCCTGCCCAAGAATTCTTCATGGGGTCAATCGACTTCCCTGCGGTTCACCCTGGGGAAGTTCACATGTTGCTGGCTCATATGCAAATCAACCAGACTACAGTACCTTTTGACAAGGTGGCGGCATGCATGCCAACACGTTCCTCCTGCAGGGCTCACTTGCTTTGCCTATAAACAGATGGGGCAGCAAAACTGTATTGAGCCAAAATAGGCCTGTTTTTGCCTCAGTCCTGTTTTGCCCTGAAGCCTTGATCTATCAAGGGACCCTAGCCCTTTGCCCCAAGCCAGGCTCAGGCTCCGGCGCAGCTGGTCCAAGAACTCCCCGGCCACGGTCGGGAGCCGAGCGCCTGTGGGTCCGAAACGGGGGGCACCCTACGAGAAGCCGTCGACGTCTTTGTGGTGCCCGTAAGAAAACAGCCTCCCGACCATGGCTGTACAAACATGGTTGGGCTTCTGAAGGTAAGCCCTTTGAACACCAGCGACGTATTCAATGTGAAACACAGGCGCCCAAGTGAGGCCTGAACAAATACCCGAAACACAGGGTGAGGGCGATGTACCCTTCAGGAGGTTGCGGTGAAGACGATGGAAAAGGAAACCTACATTTTGGATGCACATGATTCCTATAAGGCCATCTAAGAAGGCCAGCCCTGCTGGGAACCACCAGAAAAAGCACACGTGGAACCAGGTGCAAACGACATCTATATACTGGAAAATGAGCCAGGCGGAAACCATAGCTTTCTTTAATGAAACGGCAGTCCTTCCCCAAGCTAACAAGTTTGAAAGTGACCTGACATGCAACCGAATCCCCAACACGCGTTGTACATGACCGATATCTTGCTGACCACGTGATATGCCCGGCTCAGTGATTGACAACCTAGCATACTCGCATATAAATCAGGCAACATTAGATCTAGATTGCTGGGCTGCTGCCATCTGCTGATACTCTCATGCTTCGGACTGGATGATTTCCTTGAATGTTGGAGGCGTTTGCAAAAAGAAGCGGCTTGTATATGATATGTGGTGCTCAGTGCTCATGTACAAAGCGAAAAGAATCCACAGAGCTTGGACAGGACAGGGAGGCACATTGACACCTTCAGGAAGCTGGTTGCTACTGGATGCGACATAATCCGAGCGAGCACAAACTATCAAACTACGGTATATGTCAAGCGTGTACTGTACGTGTGTATATATATATATATGTATGTATGTATATGTTGAATCAATGATACCTTTACTCGTGTGTGTTGGCCTGTCAGTTTAGGCGCCTTGCTGGCACTGCCAGAAAAGAATGGGCACATGTTCACCTTGCCACATACGGACATCTCGTGCTTGATCAAAGTGCAGTTTGCTCGGACCTGTACCATTGTGAGAGCGCCCGCAAAGCCCGATCGAGAAACACTCCAGCCCTGATCTTGATGACAACTGTGTCGCCTATAGGTTGCCAGTCAGGCCTGATACGAGGGGCACCTATATCAGGCCTATGCCAAACACCTTGCCATCCTCACTTTCTGGCAAGGGTCAAATTGCATCATTTCCGGGCTAGATGCAGGAGGGGGCACGGTTGCGGGATAACTGCCAAAGTCATGAATAAGAACTCCTTGTTCATGGCCAAATGCTTCAGCAACCCCTCTCACCCCAACCCGTGCCTTTCTCATCCTCGTCCTCAGGCCACATGCCCTGCACAGCACCTCCGGCACATGGGGTCTCAGCCCGCTTGACGAGAGAGCCGCTCCGCCGTTGAGAAATAAACCGACTGCAAACACACCGTCTGTGGAATTAAGCTTGCAAGCCTCGGAGCCCGCTAAGTTTGGCCCGTCCTCAACCTGCACGGTTGGCTTGAGAAGTACAGATCTTGCAACTCTGGCAGGATTGTAGAGAAGCATGTAAAGATGCAAGAGGAACGCCGCGCTGGGGTGATGACACTGAGACTGACTGTGCCAGTCTACAAATGCGCAACCCTGGCTCAGGCATCTGCCACGTGCTTTGCGCTTGCTACGCGGATCACTTGCATAAGCCACCAAGCAGGCATCAAATTCTAACAGGAAGGTCAACCTGCCGGCGGCTGCATCAACGGCATCTATCCAAGCCTCGAGACTGCACCCCCGGTTCCACGACGACGTCACCCAGAGGCAAGCAACCACAAAAGGAAACCTCTTGCCATTTGAAGGAGTCCTGGCCACTTTGATACCTAGCAATAGTCTGGGCAAGTCACTATGATTGACACGCGTTTTTTGTTTGGTTTCCCAAGCATTTTACCTTCATAGGTCCACTCGTTCCACCCGGTGACCTCATGATGACAGCCGAAAGTTGTCCCGGCCTGCAGCAGCTTGGACCATACCAATGGCGTCCATGCTGCGCACGCGGCCCTAGGCGCAGCGAGCTTTCCATTGGCCAATTGGTCCCCTGCAAAACATAGAGTCTAAAAACAGGCTCCCCCCAAAAAAAGGGCTCCCCCCAAAACGGGCTCCCCCCAAAACGGTGTCGCCGTCGGAAAGTGGCCCCCCAAAAGGAGAGGCCCTGAATCGTCGCTCTGAACGTTGCCATGACCCTCTGTGACGTGCGGACGCGTTGAGCTCATGTTGCTTCTTGCCATCTTAAGAGAGAAAATGGTTTCAGTTGAGCCCAGCGGAAAGCAAGCAACAAATATGACAAGCATCATGGGACAAATGTTGGGAACAAACCCACGCTGGTGAGCGGGTGCATGGGAAGCTTGCAATTTGATGAACGGGATTTCTGCATATGTTGGGGGGGGCTGAGGACAGCATGGATGTGGCTCTTCTGCGGCAAAGCAGGACAATGGCACCACAACGATTATTGTACAGTACCAGTAGTATGACCCGACATGCAGAAATTCCTACTCTGGGGTGACATCATCACGCACACTCTCAGAAGAGAGTGATGCATTGTGCTCTATGCTTTTGATAGCATATCTTAGCATTGCTTGCTTTCATCTACAAGTAGCTTTGTTGCCAATAACCATACTTGCGCAGAATCAACCCATTGGCAACCAGTCCATATGGCCCTCGAAAGCTTGAGGCTTCCATTCAAATGGTGCCATGCGAAGACTTTGCGGCGGGAGCCGTCGTCTCAGTAAAGCTTTCCAACCCAAGAAGCGTGATGTGTTCTGGGCTCGGCAATCAGGGCTCCACATTTCCATCTTTCAATGCCTCTCGGAAGTGGACAATCGTGTGGTCATGAACCTCGGAGGCAACATGTCAATCACTCCCCGAGACGCCATCGGAAGAAGTGAAACGAGGCGACGAATTGCAGTGTCCGCAGCCTGCCCTCATTGCATCAAATCCACCCAAGTTCGAACAAATCCATCTAGGAAATCTGTTCGATGCAGCCAAGTCTCTGCAACCTTCTCCGCAAGCAGGTTCACTGTCTCCCGAATTTCTTCGAGGCGCGCCTGGCAGGGAACGGCACCGTTCCCCTGTGAAGTGGGAAGGCCCGCAGTGCCTGCTTGCTGGCTCTTCCTGTGGTTGTGTGTCAAAATAGGGGAGGGAATCCGAAAATGGGTGGCTTCCTGCTTGGGCTGCATACCTGCGTGGGTTGCAGAGCTCAGTGGCTTGGCCCTTGCAAGGATCGGTCTGACGCCGAAGAGTTGGAAGTTGGGCTGCGCTGAAGGAAATCGGGGCTGGTTTGGGGGTGAAGCTCCCAATCAACTGAAGGTCAACTTGACATGATACAGCAACCACCCAGCCCGGAATGGATGGTTGCTCCTCAGCTGCAAAGAAGGAAGCACTTCGCAGGCGATAAAATTACGCATCTGGCTTTGTCTCTTCTTGACCACACAACACCCCATATTACAATGCCTCAGTGAAGGGACTAAAGCCTGCACCAGCTGATAGTGGTTTGTCCCATTCGCAGGGTGCCATCCATTGGTGCAAAATGGATTGCGCCCATCCACAGCATGACTCATACTGTGGATGCACGAAATCCTGCACCACCTAAGACGCCGTCGAATGATGACTCCACCGTAAATACCAACAAGCACTGGCTTCCCATGGTTTCAAAGTGGTGCGAATGGAGTATGCAACCATCCACAGTATTCGAAACACATATCTGCAAAACATCATGTCCCGCGTTGTTCCTGGTCGTCCAGCCGCAGGCCCAGGCGCTCCCGGAGTTTCGCGTCGCCCACGGCTCCTGCGGGCCGAGGTCGGGGACGGGAGTGGGGGGGTGAAATTGGCTGCCTCGGGTCGGGCTGGGGTTGTGGCTGGGGTTATGGCTCAGGTTGGCGCATGGTAGGATTCTTCCTTGCTTTTCCGGGGGGTGCTTTCATGCGTCGGAAGGTGTTTTCACGATGGCCCTTCTACCTTCTTTGTGCGGCTTCGCCTTGGGGGTTCGGGTTTACGGGTGCCGTTTTCCCCGGATGGTGGAAGCCCTGGGGCAAATCGCAATGGAAGTTTGGTACCGCAAGCAAAACACCAAAGCAAAGCTCAGCCAAGCTTTTGCAGTGAGGTCCAACTCTTGGGGAATGTGAGGATCCTTCAATGGCTCTGGGGCACAGACCAGAGGCAGACAGGGCATTGTAATACTGCATGCACTGTTTTCTGTTCGCCTCACGGAAGAGGAGAAACAGGTGTTTGACAGAAGTACAACACACAACCACACATGGGCATTCTAGGAACACAACAACCAAGCAGCAAAATGTTGAGTTCATGGAATCAAGTGCGGCCAACAAGCAATTGATGAAGGAAAAGCACTTGCAAGACTCACAACACATTGGGACAAAGAGCTCCTTCCACATGGTTGGATGCTGGACGAACCATGGATGAACATCAGAAGCTCCACCAGCGATCATTGCATGTCCAACCAAGTAATATTGCACCAATTAAGCTTCCATGCCGCACCATTCACAAATATACTATTGGGCAGCCTGAGCCAAGAGTAAGGGACACAACACAGACACGCAAAGAAAGCAACACCATGACACAACATGAGCCACTACAACGCGATGTTTTCCTCTTCGGACACATGCTAGCCACGAGCTTGCTTGCTGAACGGCACACATATATCTCTCAAACTCACCCACTAGTTGCAAGTCCCAGGGTTGAAATCACCCAGATTGGCCCAGCCCAAAGTCCAGCACCTGAGAAAGGCCCTGTCCTCCAATCATGTCTGCGATCAGCACATCCTTGGGGCAGGTTGAAAGAGGTGAGAAACGGCTAAACGAATCAATCAAGGCTGGGCTCATCCTTGCAGGCGATTAACAAGTCACTAGAGCAAAGACAGGGCACATTGACCTGGTATGAGTCATTCGAGTGAAATGCCCATACCCTTGCAAGAAATAGTCATTCAAAGTCATTACTTACTGGGCTTTCACCGATTGTAGAAGGCCACTCAGCCCAATCCCAGGCAACAATACCCCCTTTGATACCTGGGGTGCAAGAGCCGCCTTCACACTCAACCGCAGAAGCCACAACAAGGAGCGTGGTGCGTTGCTTGGACAATGCATCTCGAACGAGGATTGTCCAAAATGCAAGATGAGGCCAAAAAACGCAAATAAGTTTGGGAGCCCAAGTTGGATGCCCGTCACTTTGCCATTGCCCGTTACCCACCAACAGCCGTCCGCGGTTGAAGGGGACCTTACCTCCAAGAAGCTCGTCTTCTAAAGAAAGCTTGCAGGTTCCTTCACATGCCTGAAAGGGAACCCCTGAGAAAGACTCAACGCCAAAAGCCTCCCGTTGCCAACTGTTCCACCTTGTCCGTAGAATGAATTTGGTCCTTCGTTCAAGGGAACCCACGGTTCTTTCCACAATCGAGTCTTGATCAAACCTAGTATCACAGTAGTCTGTCCAAAACCATGCGAAGAATGAAAAGAACGGATTTTCCTCAATCACATTGAATCATGGTTTGGACTGTTCTGCACCCCCACACTGCGTCGAGCCGCGGCTGTTGTAGCCAACTCCGCCACCAGTGTCCGCCGGAATGCGACATCCTACACGATCAGGGACCCTAGAAAACAAAAAAAGACCTAACGCTTTGGACCCAATAGAACTTCAAAAGGTTTGGGGGTCTCTTGGGGTGGTTTGTCGGGGCTTTGGCAGTCTCCACTCCGTGCTAATCCCCTTGGAAAGGTCGCAACAGCGAGAAACTAAGAAGCCAACAATTTGGAGGGCTTATCGGTTTTCAGACACACACACACACACACACACAACATGAAACTACTGGTCTGCCAAATAACAACCCCTGCCACACTTGCAATGATGCGGGCGCCCAATATATATATATATAATATATATATATATATATACATAGGGACTGATAAGGGATCTGATGCGAGCTGCAGTTGGCTTGATGACAGTGGAAGTCGCCCTCTGTTTGCACCCTCAGTGCCACGCCGTGCTGAAATTTCCACATAGTGACATAAAGGTGCAGCAGACTTGTTGCTTGTGTCAGGCAAAGAGAGCTCATACAGTCAATTGACTTCGCTCGCTTTCACTCTCAGCCCTGCTCAGAATGCGGAAAGGGATGCTACATGTCAGTTCTCCCTCAAGCCCTGCACCTTGGTCTCCTTTTCAAGTCAAAACTGTTCTTGGCCCACTAAGCCCCCGAGGGCAAGAGGCTTCTGACGAGCGCGCGAGCCCCGCCTCAATGAGAGATGATGCCAAGTTCATGAGCAGTGCCGTGTCGTCCGCCTGGCCCGGCCTGGCAGGGTATCTCCTCAATAGTACTCCCCGAGCCAGCAAAAGAGAGCGGAACTCCATCCAATGAAACTGGTGGGTGATGCTGTTGGCTTGGACGGGTGGACAAACTCCTGAAGCAATACAAGACATCACATGTCTCCAGATCACAGCGGTACAAAGCTGGAACTCGCGAATGCCGGCGGCTACGAATGCTGCAACCAGGAAAATGCGTGACCATTTCAGCCGCTGCAGTGCGCATTGAAGCAGACACCGTACAGTACAGACCCGATAAGCCATGCCCGCGCTGATGCTGTGATATCGCATCCCCTTCCAAGTGAGTGTTCCCGCAGCGCTGATTCCTGGAGACCTCCTCTTTTTGGACCCCAAACCACCCCAAGCCACCCCCCGAAACCCCACCCCAAGCCAACCGAAACCGCCGGCCTGGAGCCCGGCACCGCCACGGTGCTCTTGGAGGACTCCCGGAGCCTAGGGAGTGCGTCGGAACACGAACTGAGACATCTCTTGTTTCATTGCAGATTCCCTTGCGGTTCACGTCAAAGGCCGTACTGGGAACCGGCAATCGTAGCCCCTGCCTCGGGATACTTCTGTTCCTGTTCCTCTCTGAGAACACAGACCCCCCGAAGGCCATAACTCAATTCTAGGGATGATCCATCCCAAACTTGCCGAACTATCATTTCTTACACAGCAGCTGTTTGCCCTGATCTGCTGGCCAGAAAGGACGGGCCTATTCTGGGAATCACAAATCACCAACGCTTGCAAGATTCAATCCATGTGTGACCGTCGCAAATGCTGAAATCTGCTGCATCCCCACAATGTAAGGCGTAAGGGTGTGCCCAGATTTGCCGGGCCTCGTGCACATATATATATATATATGTGTACATATATATATATATATGTATACATATATATATGTATATATATATATATATATATGTATATATGTATATATATATATATATTCACACACACATACATGTACCTAAACACATGAACAAACTGGTAACAACACACCCATCTCGAACACGAATATTATGTGTTTTCAACATGCATCGCAACCGAAGCTTTGGATGCGCTAAACCAACACACGAGCTACCGTCAAAATTACTTGTTCCCCCAAGAGCACACATTGAACATTTCGTGGGTCCCCTGGATGTTGCTTGAAAACTGTGTGAGTTCCCCCACCCCACATGCACCATGGTCTTTGTAATTTTTGGCCCCGACCCTTGCGCCCCGTTTCATAAACCGAGGCGCAAATCCACGGCGCGGTCCCAGCGGAAGCGCGACTCCTGGCCCTCGGAGTTGAAGAGCAGCTCAAAGAGACCTGCGACTCCCGACTGCCGCGCGGTGCCCTGCCGGGGTCATGGTAATACATCCTCAAAATGACCGTGTCACTGGTGGTTTGAAGGGAACCACTCAAAAAGGAATTTGCAGAACCCGTGAACATGCTCACTTCAAGGGATCCAGCACCACCCCACCATCACCGCCGTGTTGGGTCCCCACTTACCATGACCAGGAGCAAGAATGGGGCCGTGGGATACTTTAAAGCCAAGTGTTAAGTCATGATCAAACGAGGCAAACGTTGGCAATAACAGCATGGCGCAACGCAACAAACGCAATTAGCCACCAACAGCACAGTTACAACATATAAGCAATTGCGACATGATAGCCTGACATTTTCCCCCAATAGGCTGGAGTGGTTTGAAGCGTACCTGCTGGAGCGCCCTGAGGTCCCCGGCTGCTCCGCAGCTCAGCGTCCAGCAGGATCCTTCGGGCCACGTAGGGGTAGGCGGCCGCCAGCACCCGGTACTTGGGGTCGATGGTCAAGGCCAAGCCCTCGAGGGTCACCAGGCTGCCTCAGGCTGTTCCCTCGCCCGGTGGTTTGGATTGGCGTGGTTACCTGCTGACCCTCCACAAGTGGCTTCAATTCCCCAAACCACAAATCCAAAAAACAAACTAAAGGAGAACCTGACTCAAAGTGAACACACCCTGTTTGAAAACCAAAACGCCAACACCCCTTCCGGAACCCTAGCCCACACCTGCGGAGACAACTACTCTGGAGCCGATCTGGGCAAGAACCCATAGCTTTCAGCTGTTGGGGCAAAAACGACTAAGTTGGTGGCATTTTGCAGCACTATGGGGTGGCTATCCAGTTCCAGCACAACACGCCGCATCGGATGTCGCAGACCCTTTCGGCAGCTGCGTGGGAGCTTTCGGCCGGGGGCCCCAGCGCACCACCAGAGCGTAGAAGGCGGGCACCGTGAATTTGTAGTTCTTGAAGACGACGTTCGTCAGGCCATCCACGATCGTCTGGAAGCTGACGGCCTAAAGCCGGAAGCTCCCGAAGCCTGGAAGCTCCCAAGGGGTAGGGCCTGTGCAAACCACAAAAAAAAGTATGTGTAATATATATATATATATGCACATGCTACAATATGTATCAGAGAGCGAGAGAGAGAGAGAAAGAGAGAGAGAGAGAGATACCTGTCTAATACTCCAAACTCTTGGCTGGCCATCTATGACTGGGCTCGACTCCAAGCATTGGCTCTTTCACTCAGGAAACTAAGGAAGCAGAACTCAGCCAACAGACGTGGCATGAAATGCGCGGCGCTGACTGTTCTCTTGCAATCTCTGTGGAATCAAACCCAACTCCACTGATGAGGTCACAAAAGTGTTGGGTCATTGGTGTAGCACCACCAGCTTCACCAACTCCAGCTTATACAAGGAGACCCAACCAGTGTGCTCACCAGCATGAGGCAAGCGCCTCTTACAATTTGTCCAAGTCTCTGCTGCGCAGCCACATTGCTCTCATCCCAAAACACACATGCCATATCGGCCATGTACCCTACTTACCTTTTCAGTGGCCATCCAAAGAAGAAAAGCACATCGATTTATTTGCTGTAGTTGCAAGTGAACCCCACCTCGAACGCAGAAGTAAAAGTTGAGCCCCACTGCGCCGGGCCGCAAATCTCCAGCCCCGTCGTGACTCCGACTCAAACTTGGGCTCCAGGCCACGCCGGCGCCCAGGCGGGGCTCGAAATAGTCCCGCAGCTTTGGGGCGATGGGTCGCACGTCCACGTCCTGCGCGAAGGGCAACGTGGGGAGCGAAAAACAAGGCTCTTGCAACGAACAAGAAAAGGAATGCACATGTAGTTGCTTCTAGACTTTTAGTACCGGTCGGACATGGGTGTCTGGCGACATTTAGGCAGCTCAACTGCAGCCAAGTGCCCTTTGGCCCTTTGGGCCTAGTTCAGTTCGATCCCAGTCGTATGATGGTCGTTCAAGAAGGTCACACTTTGTCACGTAACTCGGATTTACATGACTCCCAGGAGTGTGCCAAAGGCCCTAACTCTTCTGGGCGGTTGCAACAAGCCAACTTGCCGAGGGCTGCCCTGGACTAAGGCCACCAGGCCGTGCAAAATGGAACAAGTTCCGGCGCAAGCGCCCGGCCCTTATCTGCAGCAGATCTCCCAATTCTGAATGGCTGCAATCCGTGGAACCGGGGTCAAGCTGAACCTACAGTCACCTAGGCATGCCTGAAAACCCGGAATGAAATGGTCTCGTTACTGTTGACTTTCTTGAAGAGCCAATCTCACCGAGGTGGCCTATTTTGGGAAACACGCATCTCACAAAAGACTTCACAAGCGACCACCGAGCCCGTGCCGAAACCGCAAAGACGCCCCCTCGTGCCCAGCAGGAGGCAACTTTCTGCTCCTTCGAAAGGAAGCCCAAATAGTAATAGTCGTTCGCCATGCCCACGTAGTCTCCTAGGTAGCATTGGTCCCAGACAGCGATGCAACCCCAGTCCCAACACAAACCCAAAATCGTGCAAGCAAAGAAGTAATCTGCACAGCTGTTTCACCAAGCTGGGGCACAGGCAAGGAGCTCACATATGCTGTTGGCAAGCGATACAAGCGCCAAGCAAATTCTGCCTCATGGGTTCAGGACTTCCATTGCTATTTTTGCTGTGGTGCTCCTCCATTGCAAAAGCTCTAGAACCTCTCAGAGGACTGCTGGGCAGCTGCTGTGCCAAGCTGAGATGCGACATTTCGAGGGCTTCACACCCTGTGGCCTACGGAGACATGCAAGCAAACTGGCCGAGGATCTGTTCACCAGGTGCACGATGTGCTGTATCACCTCAGACGCCCGGGACTGTTGCTCACTTTACATTTATTTTGCATGCTGGGCAGACCGACATGTTGCATATAGAGCAAGGGTGTGTGTGTGTGTGTGTGTTTGTATAATACATGCATTTAATCTGGAATGACTGCAGACTTCCCATTCAATAGCACATAGCATGCACCAGAATTTTGTGGACTTCAAATGAGTTGCGGGGACGAACACGCAAACCATGCTGGCCTACCTCCCAAATGCAGGGAACTTGCAGCATGACAGGTCCGAGTCCAAGTGCAGCTTGGGGCACAAACAAAATAATGATACAAACAGACATCTGCAGGAGCAACAAGAAAAATACGTAACCACAGGGGAGGTTGTTCGATATCTTGGTAATTCGTAAGGGGGACAACTGAAACACAATGTCACAAATCAGTCACAAGAGGACGGACACGGTTAGTATGGCTTGTTCGCGTTTGGCGGTCCACGTGGCTGAACGAGCCAAAGGCCACCCACCGATTCATTGTCCCTATCTTCGCGCAGGAGGAGGCTAGCCCCTTGAGCCGGCTGATGAGTCTACTCTGCAATTGACGGCAGACAATCTGCTGACAGAACTAGTCCACCCAGACCACACCGACACACACACTATTCTATACGAGCATGTTGGTTTACAATTCACCAGTCAGACTTAGACGGTTTTCCAGCCTTCAGAAACACGATCATACCACCAGAGGAACATCACTATGGTGCCGCTTCCCACTTCCCTCCTCTTCCTTCCTCCCTCCTCTCCCGTCGCCGGGGCACAGCCAATCGGGCATCCTTGGGCATCTCGCTCATGAGGCCGAAGTCCAGAACGCATAGCTCCCCCTGCTGACACACCATGCGCGCGGCTCGGAGTCGGAAACAAATGAAGTCAACTTGCCGAGGTGTTCATCGGCATGGCCCTAGATAAGACAAATGGTGGCAGAACTGGACAATTGCTAAACTTATCATGATGACTGTCCTTGCTAGGCCCCACATATATATATATACATACATACATACATACATACATACATTATATACATACATACATACATACATACATACATACATACATACATACATACATACATACATACATACATACATACATACATACATACATACATACATACATACATACATACATACATACATACATACATACATACATACATACATACATACATACATACATACATACATACATACATACATACATACATACATACATACATACATACATACATACATACATACATACACATACATACATACATACATACATACATACATACATACATACATTACATACATACATACATACATACATACATACATACATACATACATACATACATACATACATACATACATACATACATACATACATACATACATACATACATACATACATACATACATTACATACATACATACATACATACATACATACATACATACATACATACATACATACATACATACATACATACATACATACATACATACATACATACATACATACATACATACATACATACATACATACATACATACATACATACATACATACATACATACATACATACATACATACATACATACATACATACATACATTACATTACATACATACATTACATTACATTACATACATTACATACATACATACATACATACATACATACATACATACATACATACATACATACATACATACATACATACATACATACATACATACATACATACATACATACATACATACATACATACATACATACATACATACATACATACATACATACATACATACATACATACATACATACATACATACATACATACATACATACATACATACATACATACATACATACATACATACATACATACATACATACATACATACATACATACATACATACATACATACATACATACATACATACATACATACATACATACATACATACATACATACATACATACATACATACATACATACATACATACATACATACATACATACATACATACATACATACATACATACATACATACATACATACATACATACATACATACATACATACATACATACATACATACATACATACATACATACATACATACATACATACATACATACATACATACATACATACATACATACATACATACATACATACATACATACATACATACATACATACATACATACATACATACATACATACATACATACATACATACATACATACATACATACATACATACATACATACATACATACATACATACATACATACATACATACATACATACATACATACATACATACATACATACATACATACATACATACATACATACATACATACATGTTACATTACATTACATTACATTACATTACATTACATTACATTACTTTACATTACATTACATTACATTACATTACATTACATTACATTACATTACATTACATTACATTTTATTACATTACATTGCATTACATTACATACATACATACATACATACATTACATATATACATACATATATATATATATACAGACATATATATATATATACATATGCGTCTGCGTCATCCCTTCTGACAACAATTGCTCAACTGCTGAATGGGAATGCAACTTTCAATTGGCTTCATCGGAAGTACACCGTGCGGTTCATGATTGACCGCAAGTCGACAGAGCTGCGCAGAGCTCAAGCAGTACTCGAATAACAACTTAGCTATAACGAAGCAAACTTAGAGTTTTACCAACTAGTCAAACTTTTACTTCGGGTTCTATTCACTTTTGCTTTGGATTAAACTTATACACCTAGGTTCTACCACTTAGCTGCGAAAACTTAGCATACCCTCACTGTTCTGAACACCAATCTAGAACCTTCTACTTCATGGGCCATCAGCTTCAGATGGGGAGTTAGGATTGACTACAGCTACGGCAACCAAAACACAAAGAGATGTTCCAGCTGAAGCACTCAGGGTTCAATAGGCATCCCCCCATATCCGGCTGGAGGGCGACTGGGCCGAACTATCCTCCCCCAGGATTCCACACAACAACTTGCTTCTCCGGGGCCTGTTTTGGCTTGGGGTGAGTTCGAGGCTTACCTTTGAGAGATCTGATTCAAGGGACAAGTCATGAACCAAACCAAAGTTCCGAAAAGGACCCGAAAGTAGCTTGGATACAAACTGGACCCTTTGTGCACATCCTTTCAATGCGGATTTGTGCAACCACCAATCAGCTTTGAGGGTCCAGCCATTCGAAAACACCCTTCTCATACAAACCTAGCACTGGGAGAGTGTCTGGAAGATAAACTTCAAGGGGCCATTCCCTTTTTCGCCGCCTTTTGCTGGGTCCTAGGAACCCAGGTATTTCCGTGTTCGAGCATCGTGCCTGGGGCGTCACGAAGAAGTTCCCAGGGTGGGGGTCCGCGTGGAAGAAGCCGTGCTCGAGCAGCTGCCGCATGGAACACTCGATGCCCACGGTGATGAAGGTCAAGGGATCCAGACCTGATCTGACCCATGCTTCGGATGGTGTGATTTATTTGCATCATTGTGTATTAATATAATCTATTGGTATATTATTTGATTGTTTGTGCATCTGTGTATGTACTTATTTGTTTCTGTTCATTTGTGTTTTCAATGTTGTTTACTTATTTATGTGGTTACTTACTTGCTTGTCAATTTATTATGCGCCAGCGGTTTCAGCTCAGCAAAAATTGAACAAATGGACGGTGGTAGCTTCCACTTATCACAAGTGTCACAAGAAGGAGCATTTGCATTTGGATGATGTACCTGATTTGAGATCCACATTTCGGATTCTTCTAAAATTGGGTGCCGAGTGCGCAAGGGGAGCACCAAGAAGCACCGGGCAAACCCAGAGCAAGTGTGAGGGGTTGCCCGACAGCATCATGCTCCCGTTGGGGCAAGACCAATGCCCCGAGATGCTCTCGTGGCAGAGTCAGTTGCAACGTGTCTGTCATCCATATGAATAAATTTCCCCCAGCAGTTTTCAGTGCTTGCGGCGGCACGGTGTTACAATGCATGGAGTTCTCTCTCACACACTCACGCAGACACACACACACACACACACAAACAAACACCCGCGCGCGCACGCACGCACGCACGCACGCACGCACGCACGCACGCACGCACGCACGCACGCAAGCACGCACGCACGCACGCACGCACGCACGCACGCACACACGCACCCACACACAGACACAGACACAGACACAGACACAGATACAGACACAGACACAGACACAGACACAGACACAGACACAGACACAGACACAGACGCAGACGTCAGACGCAGACGCAGACGCAGAAGACGCAGAAGACGCAGAAGACGCAGAAGACGCAGAAGACGCAGAAGACGCAGAAGACGCAGACGACGCAGACGACGCAGACGACGCAGACGACGCAGACGACGCAGACGACGCAGACGACGCAGACGCAGACGCAGACGCAGAAGCAGCAGACGCAGACGCAGACGCAGACGCAGACGCAGACGCAGACGCAGACGCAGACGCAGACGCAGACGCAGACGCAGACGCAGACGCAGACGCAGACGCAGACGCAGATGCAGAGGCAGACGCAGACGCAGACGCAGACGCAGACGCAGACGCAGACGCAGACGCAGACGCAGACGCAGACGCAGACGCAGACGCAGACGCAGACGCAGACGCAGACGCAGACGCAGACGCAGACGCAGACGCAGACGCAGACGCAGACGCAGACGCAGATGCAGATGCAGACGCAGACGCAGACGCAGACGCAGACGCGCAGACACACACACACACACTCCACACACACACACACCACACACACACACACACAAACACACACACACACACAAACACACACACAAACACACACACACACACAAACACACACACACACACACACACACACACACACACACACACACACACACACACACACACACACACACACAACACACACAAACACACACAACACACAAACACACAAACACACAAACACACAAACACACAAACACACAAACACACAAACACACAAACACACAAACACACAAACACACAAACACACAAAGCACACACACACACGCGCACACACACACACATACACACACGCACATACACACACGCACATACACACACGCACACGCACAAGCGCACGCACAAGCACACGCACAAGCACTCAAGGCACAAAGGATCGCTCAGGGACCTTGCAAAGGAGAGTTTAGCAATGGCAACGCTCGGACATCTTGTCGAGGCCAGCCTGCCTCTCCGACTCAATCTCACTTCAACCACAAACTAACAATAAGGTAGCCTGACTCTAACAGCCTCTTGGATTTGAGCTGCCTGAACCATGAACTTTCACAAGCAGCAACGACCGTCCTGAGAAAGTGCAAGTTTGGCACCTCTGTATGGCATCGCAAAGGACCGCAGTCCTCACAAACAACAAGTCCGCAAGTCCACCATATAGCTTAGCATCGCAAAGCTTGGCTTGGGCGCCCCAATGCAAAGCGTCTTCTGAAAGTCCAGACCAAGACAAGGCAAACGGCAAACACAACAACCCTTCCATGAACGGCATCTTGCTGAATTCCACTCAGAAAGGTATCGCCTTTTGTAAGATAGTATGGGTGTGTTATGTTGCCGAGGGTGAGTTCCTTGGGTTGTTTGAAGGGCAAGCCACTGGCAAACCAATCATTGTGGGATAGTTTGAGGGTTCCATGTCCTGCTTGTCCTGTTTTGAGACAAACCCATGTGCCAGGCCCTTGCAAAAACCGCCCCCTTTCAGCCCCACCCCAGCTTCGCTTGTTGCGCGCAAGCGGCCCAGGCTGCGTATGGCCTTTGCATCCGTGAGCTTCACGCCATCCACCCACTCCATGACCTCGTCTTGCTCGTCTCGGTAGAAAGTTGGTCCGGATAAGAACAAGAGGACCCAATACCAGTGGTCTGAAAAGTTGGTCTGGTTGGCTTGGAAAATTGACCCACTACAAATTTCCTACCCTTGTGATTTTGTCCTTTTGAGGTTAGGAGCAACCCTGGATCTCAATGGGCTGCGTGCTGCCAAAATGGAAGAATTCCGCGCAATGTCATAAAACGCTAACTTGAAATCTACACAAAGCATATCCAGCCGGCACAGAAGGGTTTGCGCTAAAGCGGTTTAGCTGCTGCTCCAGCAATGAGTGAAGCGCGCGCGCATGCGCTCATTTCAAAATTTAGCACATGTGACCCGAAGTTTCGGCATTTGGTGGTCTTTGGATTGGACAATGCTTGTCCACAGAACGCCACCTCAGAGAACATGTCTCAAGCAACGGCATTTGCCCAAAGCTGCCAAATCGGCAGTTGCAGTCTTTGGACAATGCCAAAGCAGCGGCATTGTCAAAAACAAGAAGCAAGACATAAATGCAACTTAAGCTACCAGACTAATTACTTCTGAACACTGAATGTGCAACAGTCGCCCGCCAAAAAAATAGAACAGAAAACATGCCCTTGGTGACAGCCAAGACAGATTCAGACCTAGAGCACCACATTCAGCTGAGCCCGAAAGATCAAGACACAAACATCAAATCCAACGCCGGCAGCTGCAGAGGATATCAAGAAAGCGTAGCTCAGTGGCTCACGCAGAGGGCCCCGGCCGTATTCGAGGCTGCAGCACCCGCTGCTCCACGTACAAGCACACACAAATTCTCTTCTTCCAAGCGGCAGTCAGTCTGCTGCTCGCACGCAAGAGCCCCTTTCTTGCAATGTCTGGTTGGCATGAAACACAAAGATTGCTGGCAACCTCGCAGCAATGAACGCGGGGACCCTGGCAGCTGAGGCAAATCTCAAGTACGCGTAATTAACAAGGATTCTGAGTGTCATAGCGTTGGCAAAAACCCTTCCGAGATTCAAATCCACGTTGCTTGCCTGCATGTCTGAGACAAGGCAGGTCTTAAGACTTGGCGAAGACTCGATTTGAGTGTCTTCGATCACAGACTGTTCTCCTTGCATTGCTACCCGCGTGACAGGCACACTGGAAGGAAGAAGCTCTATATTGAAATAGGGAAAGTCGTGAAGGCAGGTCACACAGGCTCCACCAAGCAAGGCCACATCTACACACAGACTGCACATGCTGAAAAGAGAAAGGCGTAGCCGTAGCACAAACTAAAATGAAACGTCATGCATGTCAACATCCCAAATGCTATCGCGCAGCATCCTCCATGGCAGCATCACAGCAAAGCATACAGCTCGCCTTCGTCTATTTCTATCCTATTGAATGCTGGGTCCCTGGGTAGGCTGAGATTAGCGGAATCCACCAGTGTCTGGCTCGCTGCCGGCTTAGCGCAACTACCAATGAAGTTGTCACCTCTTGAAGCAAGTGATTCCATGCACTTGTAGTCACCACATCTTCGAAGATGCTTTGAGTCGTGGTTCATCTAGATGTCCATCATGCATGCCACTGTTAGTGGGCGGGTGCTGCATCCAAAGTCAAGCACTCTCTGTTTAACAACACATCTTGGGAGTGCGGAAGCGTGGGAGCAGCAAGGCTCAACAACGGGCTCTCTGGCACTACGCGCGACTCATACTCGCATGCAAATAACTGCTACTGTTTGGTATGTTAGTTTATATTCTTCGGATTGATCCCGAGGACAACAATCAGAGGAATCTCCAGGCAATAGATAAATTCTCCACTGAAAAGAGAACGAGCCCGAATCAGTACGATCATCCGGATCCTGAAGTTGACGTTAACTGATCTCTTGTTGGGTCAAGGCGGTCACGGTCGTATAACAAACAGCTCCCTGGTCTTTCCGCAACGCTCAGCACGTCACGCTGACGGAATGGGCGCAAATACCGATGGCCACTTCTATTGTGTCCTCTAAGGCTACTTGCCCAGTGGCCAAGGCCAAGGGGTGAGAAGTCCCTTCTTCTAGCTGGGCCAGGGGATGCTCCATGTCACTGGGCTGCTGGCAATCACTTTCCCCGTGGCCAGGCTGGGGTAGACCTTTGGTACCTGACAGGTTTGGACGACCAGTTCGTTCTTGGCAAACTCCACGCCTTTGAAGCTCTGCCGAGATGTGGCCCCAGAATTTCGGCGAATGCTTGTTTACTCCTGGACGGTGGAGATTTATGCCGGAATGGGCTTCCACGTCAAACTTGTGGGCATCTGGGTTGTGCTTTGTTGAAGGTACCCTTTCTTCAGTTGATTAAAAAGGAAATCAACCGAAACATATCATTTTCCTGTATAGACAAATACCCTGATTATGTGTTCACTACTTGCTTTGAAACAAATGCTGGCTTCCAAAACACATGTCCTATGAAAACGTTATGCACCTGCAGGGGCTCGCGTGCCGAGATGTGAGCAACTGACAGTATTACCACGGATGTAAAGGGAGGAGAACATTGGGAACCTGATGATGTTCCCTTAGTTCAGGCAGACTACCCGCCGATTTCCTGTAAGTATACATTTGAAAGGCATCTGATAACATTGGAATGGGGCAGGTGGGGTAATGTTCAACCACATGCGGTCGTGATCATGCAACGACTCTCTCCCTGAGTGGATTGGCCACAAAAAGTCAGAACTCTCAATTTACCACTAAACTAGTCTTCCCAAAAAGTATGCAGTCCAGGAACTCAGGGAGTGCGAGTCCACTTTGGGGCCCTGGTTGCGCCTTCAGCTTCTCCTGGTCGCCGTAAAGTGCCAAGAAGCGCTGGGCATTCCTGAGAGGCATTCAAGTGGTCCGGGTAACATGTTTGGGGCCCCCGTAAAGGAATCATGTTATATCTAGAAACCTCTTGGACATATGGCTGTCACGTCTTTTTGGGCCATTTTGGGGACAACTTGTGAAGGGTGTTCGGCCGTTAGCGAGGAATGGCCCCGGCGCTCCGTCACCTTGAGCAGTCGATGGAGTCTGTTTGTTGACTCCAGTTCCAAGTGTCCGGAGGTAGAAACGAGGCCAAAACCAGGCCTTGGTGGAAAGTGTCTTGGGTTTTCCCTTCAAGGGTCCATCAAATGGACCGTCATGGCAGCGCCGCACATCTGACAACTGCTTGGGGTAGCCATGCTGAGCCAGGACACTGCAATTACAGCCTATCTCAGTCACGGCCGCGCAAAACCCGGAAAAGCAATGATCTCGTTTTTTGTAGGTCCTTATATCGTTTTACATGGTTTTGCAATATTCTGACCAACCGACGAACCGCAAAGCCACCGGAGACATGTCTTTGAACAGAGAGTGTTGCCTGTTGCTCATCTGAATTGACAGACCTTGATGTTGCTTCCCAAGCCTATTCAAATACTTCCTGAAACAGCAGACCGCTTGAAATCGTTGGTTTGCCTTTGTTCCCGTTCAACATCAGGATCCAGGGCCAAACGCACATAAGCCAATCCGCGCGAATGACCTTGCTCGGGTAGCCAAGCCACCTCTGCATCACAATTCCTCCCGGTTCTCTGGCCTCTGGAACTCCAATTGGCTCACAAAGATTCTGTTGGGGGAAAAGACCGATCTCCAAACAATTCTGTTGGCAAACAATTCCCTCCAAACATAGCAACCTATGGGGGGGCGGGGACGGGGGGGGGCCTGAAGAGTGCCCCTCTGCTATAATTCCTGTCTTCGCTCCGTGGGAAAGTGATGGGTGAGGAAAAAGGAATGAAAGAGATGGACCACTCCCTATCCCTTTCTCCTTCTATCTGTTTCCGAAGCGAAGAGGAGGCGGGAGGAACGAGCGGGAGTCAAGGGACAGGAATAAAGAGAAGAGAAAGGAAAGGTGTCTCTTCTCTCTCCATTGCATTCCCGAAGTTATTGAATGAAGATTGGAAATGCAATGGCAAAGAGAGCGAGAAGAGAAGAGCCTGTCCACCTTCGTCTCGTCTCTTCACCGTTCGGTCACTCTATTCCCTCTCTCGTCTCTGAGACGCACCGAAAGGACAGGAGGGACTACTTTGTTGGGAGGGTAAAGAGGAAAGCAGTCTCCCAGAAGGCATCCAGCCCTTCGCCGAGGCGCTGCACTTCAGTTTCCTCGGCGCTCAGATGCCACATTCAAGTGTGGGAGGTGCCAAAGCGAATCAGCATTGTCAAGCATTCCCAAAACAGAAAACTGGATGTGCGAGCCAGCTCTGTTGGCAATGCTGCAGTCAACGCCTGCCGTCCAGACTTTGCAAACCACAACTGTTCCACCCAGAAAGCCTGGCTCAAATCGCCACTTGCACCCTCTGAGTTGTCCTGAAACCACCAAACAGGCCCTACAAAAAAGGGGGTGCACAGCTACCCTGTGGGTATTGGTCCAAGATCCCATTCATGACCTGAAGGTTTTGCCCTCGGCAGTTCTCCAACCAAGGCCCAAAGCAAACCTGCCGCAGCTGGTGGCTGGTGTCATGGGTATGCTCCGGAAACTCTGGAAGCACACCATCTCAGAACGGGGATCGATGGTATTGCAGTGATCGATTTCTCTTTAGCCTCGGAACAAAAGGAGGTGCTAACATTTGAAGATACGCCTTGGAGGTTTGGGGGTCCGAATGCCCAATCTCTTGGGATTTGTTTTGGTAACCTAGCGTCTCAGAGATTCTCCTCGAAACGGACTCTTTGCATGACCCCCCCGCCCCTTGCGGGGACACACCTACTAGCCCAAGAATCAGTTGACACCCGAGAATCGGGCTTTCCCAAACTGCATAGTTTTGGTTTAGTGTCTCGGTGCATTAGGACCCCTTCTTAGTTCCTCCAGGGCAGGGAGAGTGGCCAGCTCTCAGCTGACATCCGCTGCACATTTGCAAGCCCATCCAAACGAATCAGGAGTGGTTCCAGTAAGAAGTGCACACGCGTGAAGCCACAAGGAATTTCCAATTCTCATTCCCTGCCTATCGCACCAGCGAGAAATCACAGGTCCCCAAAACCACATGGGTGTGGCTCAAAACTCAAGAGCTAGGGTTGCACAGCTTCTCGTCTTTTGAGTCTTTTGGTTCCATTTACCAGGCTGCCACTTTGGGATTTGTTTGAGCCACAGCGTGGGAAAACCCCGGCAGTTCTTCGGCTCCGAAGGGCGTAGTCCAACTCCTCGAAGAGGCGCTGGCCGAAGGCGTCCACGAAACCCACCAGGTCGTTCCCCCGCCAACCTCGCGGACGGCCGCCCGAAAAATCTGTCCCAGGCGAACCAAGAACGTCAACCGGTAACGTGCAACCAAAAAACCGGTCAACGTTTCTTGCAATAAAACCCCTCTCATTCAAACCCGGTGGTTGTTTTCTAAGGCACTCCGCAAGGAGAAAAGTAGTGTAATGTGTGGCATTGGTCCCTCAGAGCAGACGGGGTCTGTCTATGGCTGTGCTGGTTTCGGGTGGCTGCTTTTGGGGACCAAATTATGGAGTGCAAGCAAACGGCAAGTTTCGGACAATCTAGCTGCATCACAATGCTCCAATTCCCACCAAAACTGGCCTCTGCTTGGATTGTGAAGCCTGAAGGCTCCAGTTCAAGATGAAAATGATGATGATGATGATGATGATGATGACGACGACGACGACGACGATGATGATGATGATGATGATGCTGACCATGACGACCATGATGATGATGACGACGATGGTGATGATTGTGATTCTCAATGATGATGGATGATGATCATGACATGATGACAATCATCACTATGCGTTTCCAGCAGCACCAGCACTCATGATGATCATGACTACGCATCCCCTGCATCTCAAGTCGGGTCTAACGGGACACTTGAAACGAACATCAAACTGCCTGAACTGCGGCCTGGCTAAATGAAGTTGAAAGAAAAGAAACAATAGCCCAGGAAGTGAAGGGTCCAGTCGCGCCCCAAACAGTCAGGGCTGACCAATTGGGGTCCGGTTTGGTTGTTCCAATTTCTGGGTTCCTTGGCCTTTATTCCATCAGGAACCAACATTTAGGCTGCGTGAAGGGCGTAGCCTATGTAGCCTGGTCTAATCTATTCGTATGAAGGGATGGACCATTCATGGATACCCCACAGGCTTATGTTTGCGAGGCTTTGCGACGTGCCTTGCTCTCACGCGTGTTCATGTCGAGTGCGGATGGGCCCGGAAAGAAGGCAAAGTCAAAACTAAACCAAGTCCAATCAAGCAGGTCCATCCCAAACATCCCGGATTCACTGCGCAAGGTTGGCAAGTACATCAACAAACCACGGCAAAGTATGAAAAAGTGATGGTGTTTTCCACTGGTGGTGCTCAGGACATCAGCCAGGGCAATAGGCACAAATTGCTGGCCCAATGGTGGAGCTGCTTCCTTGTGCTCCATGTTGACATCAACGTATCAAAGCGCTTAAAAAACACAAACACAAACAAACAAACAAACAAGCAAAACAGGTTCTTGGCACCTGATGTTCAGCTACTATGCCGCCACGAGATGAATCGAGTCCCGGCCTTCTGGTAGCATGTCGTCGTATCTAACCAGAAGCTTTGCAAGCTGCCTCCCGGGTTGCACAAAACACAGGATCCCCTTTGAACGTTGAACGGAACACCATGACCACCTGGAAGGGCCTGCTGGCCATCCGGATCCGTATTCCGTACGGAAAGCCGCCTCCAGGTGATGCCAAGGTACAAGCTACGGATACATAGCAGCATGCATGCTAACAGTGGGCTAAAATGGCCCCGCCAACGGATACAAATGATGCTTCTTGTTTGCACAACCCCCTAGGAAGGAACCCCCCTCCAACCTCTCGAACCGTGGGAAAGCTGCGTGCTTTCAGAGGTATCAGACTACATTCTGCGCTTATTTAAAGCCAGCTGACTTATTGGAGTAGCACACAAAAAATACAAGCCTTGCTGCCGGTGCCTGTGTGATCGCAAGCCAAATGAGCACAAATTCCAAATGTGCAGGATGCTTGAAGTTTTTTGCACTGCAAGATCTCACATGTCCTATTTGCAGCGTCGTGAGAAAAAGGACCACCTTCCCAAATCATTCGATTCAACAGCCAAGTGCTCTTCAAGCGAGTGATCAGCTGTTTGGGGCTTCCGTGGGATGGATTCATTGCGGCGGTGGCTGTTTCTCGGGATGTATTGTGGATTTGGATGCAAAGGGGAGCACTTCATTCCATTGACATGTGTTCAAAAGAAGCCGAATGGAAAGCAGGTATATGTGTCCCATCAAGTTACAGTAAGCACAGACGGAATAATATCGCACGAAGAGTTCCGGTTCACAAGTCAGAGTGGCAAAACAGGCAGACGCCGCTTCAGTCATTTGAACCCAACCCCTTGGCCTGAAAAATCAAAGGCTTTCGGTGAAGGGGCTTGGCACCTCCCAGTTTCCGGGCTTCTCCTACAATGCGCCAAGGAAAGCAAAACCCCCTATTGACCAACCATCGCTGCACTGCTGTTTCAAAGGGCGACAACGGAACCCCCCCCCCCGGCCCCCACAGCTGCTTTGCCTCGCCAGCAGCAGGTCCAAGCCTACAATCTCGGCCAAGTTCGGCCGCTGCACCTGACGCAAGAGCAAAACAGCTCCGCTGAAAACTTCTCTGGAAGCCTTGGCCCAGAAACCGGAAAAGTGAGAAAAGAAGGGGAGCGCTTCACATCGGGCGCAAGGCAGTGGAATCTGACATGGGGAGTCGCGCCTGCTCAAAAATAACTTCCATTGAAGAATGTCTCAAGTGGGTGGAATTCGCCTGGTGCGAATTTGGGGCATTGGACGACGGTCAATTGCTCGAATGGTTCAAACATCACTCCCAGCTCTTCACCCCACTCTCTGCTTGAGCAAAGCGCCTTGACCGCCACCATGGAACCATCGGAGAGGCGCCCTTTGTAGACCTCCGGCCAAAGTGAGACGCGCATGAGTCGCATGGCTCCCGCATGGTGCATGACGCCTGAGCCTTGCCGGAGTCTGTCTACACTTTGATATGTGGTGGACAATGACCCTTGTTGTGCTACCAAAGGGGCCACCTTGAGGGGATTCCGTTTTCACAGAAAGTGGCATTACAGGCAAAGGTTGGTATATAGAGGCCTTCCAAGGGGTTCAAGACCTGAAGACCCAGCAGTTTAGCCTATTCCAATCTGCTTGCTGAAAACAACCTAGATCGGATCGCTCTATGCCCTCTTTTCACACCTAGTTGATACCACGCCATACCCAACTCGTTACGAGCGCCACTTGACGCGGAATGGCCCTCGGCTCATCACCTGGTGAACAACCTGCAAACACTTTGAATACAATCAAGCAAAACAGTCAGTACCGACAACTTCTCCTGTCTATATATATATATATATGCAACCCCCTCCCCTGGTGCCTAGGTTTCGCTTGATTTCAGCGCGCAGGCTGTAGAGTTTAGATTTGTTGCAATAGATTTTTAAGCACAGACGAATGGGCTTGCAGTCCATCATGGCAAGATCCGAAATGTCCCAATATGATACGATGTTACTTCAACTAGAATTGGAATATTGAATACAATTTGGTTAGGATATAATTTTCAACAATGTGTTTATGCTCAACATTGCTCAACTACAGCTTATATAAGCAAATTCTTTCCAAATAGGAGCTACATGAGAATATATGTATAGTTTCGGGCAAACTCCAACTAATATTGAACCAAAGAAGTTAGGAACTTATTCCCAAATATCATCTAAGTGTTAGATATAATCTAGTACGAACACAACTCAATTAGCTTTTCATAATAACAATTAAATAGAGACTACTTCTCAAATTTAGTTCGTACTAAATATGGCTAAACATTTAAGGGACTTCCACAAGGAAAATTGAAATACGATCTGTGTTGTTTACATCCTGGCCGTTTTGCAGCATAAGAAAGCTTCGATATTAAACTTGTTAGACGGTGTTCCAAAAGGAAATTTCAAGGGAAGAGAGGTTCAAATTCTAAAACTATTTCGAATCAGGGATTCTAGCTGAATCAGTTCTATTTAAAGTTTTTATTTGCACAGGACAACAAAATTCGTTCTATCTCAAAAGGCGGAGGTAGTAGATGAGCAAATGTGGAGAGGTAGTTCAAGAGGGGGGTGACGGTGTGTGAACATACATACATATATATATATATACATGTGTATATATATATATATATGTATATACACATGTGTATATATATATACACATACACACACATATATATATATATAGTACCCCTAATGATCCTGCGCCTCTTCATAAAATACTGTAAAATACGTGTTTTTGAGCATTTCACCTACCTTTGTTTACCTCCTGGAAAAGGGTCAACATGCTTCATAGCTAACATGAAGCAAACCGCTCACCAAAAGCACTTGAAAGTTTGTCTAACTAGTAACTTGAAAGTGTTTCCACTGGATCGCTAAGCACTCGAAATAATTTTACCACTGGATGGAAAAGAATCAAGATTGAAGATTACACAGAACACCTTCCTGAGAATTGTCAATCTTGGCCAAACCCAAACAACATTCAAGTTCTTCTCACACTTGAAAGTGCTTTACCACTGGATTGAGGATTCAATGTCGAGGATTGCACAATTAACAACTTTCCTGAGAGTCATCCGTCCTGGTCAAACCCTAAAAATGATCAAGTTGTTCTAAAACTTCAAACGTATTCTACCACTGGATTGAAGATTCGAGATTTAAATTTAAATATTTCACGGAAAGCTTTTCCGAGAATATTTTTGAACACCGAGAGTATTGGGTCAAACCTGGATTACTATTATTATTTTAAAATAGAATTTAATATTCCCAGAAAAAGATTTATTTTGAAGTCTTGAATCTTGTTCTGGGAATCTTGAATCTTGAATCCTTTTTTTTTGAAAAACAAATAGGGGACGCAAGGTTCAATATTCCAGAATTCCAGAAAAGATTGTTTTGCAGTCTTGAATCTTGAATTCCAGATTGTGACATTGAACGTCTCCCGGCAATCTTGGGTCCAGAATTATTAATTGTAGAATTGTGGCACACCCCCCTTCCTTGGTGCCCAAGTTTGGCAAAACAAATGCAAAATTACCTGAAAAAATGACTGAAATCAAGCAAAACCTAGGCACCAGGAGGGGGGGAGGCGTACCATGTATATCTATATATATATACATATATACAATTATATATATATATACAATTATATATAATGTATATACACGGGGGCATTGGCACTTCCAAGCATTTTCCTAGGACTGCCACTGCGAGAAGCACTGCTTGTCCCAAACTCCACCTATCTGGCCAAACCGACTCCCCACCCCACCCCCTCCTCCCGGGCATTATTTTTGTTCAGAGTACCCGTTTGATGAGGGGAGTTCTCGGGAACCCCCCAGGAAAACCAACATTTCAACGGCCCAGTCCGCTGCTTCCTCGCCTGGCCCAGAGAGGCGGCGGCCACCGGCGCCTCCCCGAAGTCCACGAAGATCTCCGACAGCCTCCCGATGCGGAGCTCTCGCAGCACCTCGGGCGAGCATCCCTTGACGCTGGAAGGGGAGCAAAAACTTGAATTTTAGCAGCTAAGTGGGGATTTCCCAAACCACAATAAGCAAACCATGTAAAATGTTTCCCAACAACCATGATCCGGGGACCCTTTCACGCTTGGCGCGGCTCCAAGAAACACGCGCGGGCTTCGGCCGGAGCAAGGAGGGGGCAGGGCCAACACGACATCCGGGTCCAAAACTCACCGGAGCAAGATCAGAAAGCGAGCAGAGGCTGGTTGACAAAGGGACGTGCCCTCGGGCACGTGGCAGTTGGAAGGTACCAACTTTGCCAAAACGTCTAAACCTCAGACCCACCATTGTCTATGAGGTGTTCAGGGGCTGGCTTTCGAGAGCAGCCAAAAAAACCCTTCCCTGTTTCACCCAGTCTCGTTTTTTGAGGTACGGCAAAACATTGCTGATTTATATATATATATATACACATATATATATGTATATATATATATATATAGGTGCGCACGTGTGTATGTCTGGATAACCTCGTCGATGGAAAGATCGCTTTCGTCTTCCAAGAAAAAACAAAAAGGGACGCCAATCGTCCTGTCTAGATGATCTGTCCAAGCCTGTACATGCCTGCCGTTTCGTACACGATGTGGGTGACTCGAAATTGCAGGACACCTCCACTTGACTTCTGTTGGCTTGCTCAGAAAGGGATTTCCACTTTGAAACACTGAGGCCCGCGCCAGCTTGACTGCCTCCTCGTTCGGGAAAGGCGCCACGCTGTCCTGACCAATCTGCTCTGCGGTCTGCCCAAGAAGTCTGAGCAGGCCGCTGAGCGGGAACAGAAAACCTCCAGAGAGAAGGGAGAAAGACATCCAAAGAAAGCAAGATAAGTTGGATAGGTGTTCCACACTCTTCCCTGCCTTCTCCCTACACTTCCCTAACAATCGCAAAAATGACTGGAACTTGCGGCATCACATATGTCAGGATCTGGTAACCTGACTCACAACCGAATTTACTATCCAGGCAGTAGAGCGAAATCGTAAGCCAGCTCGTCGCCACCTCTATGCATGCTTTGGCATGGTCTCCTACTCGCCTCCGACCATGAATACGCTGCAATGTCTTCATTTGGCCATGGGTCATATTCTATGGCTCCATTTTGGGGCGGATGAACACCCATGTACCACCTACTTCACCAGGGGTACAGGGTTTTGAGCCGCAGCCATTTTAAGATACCTGCTCGGCCTCACTTTGCTCCAGATTCTGACAGCTTGGCTCATGTTGCGTGCAGGGAATGGGTCCCTGTGCAAGGGATGCCCTTTGCCCACGGACACAGGCACAACCAAGCTTGCAAAGAGCACCTTAGGTCGGGTGCTCGAGGTTGCCTCAGAGGAACACCAAGGGACCAACGGGGAATTGGTTCCCCAACTGAATCTTGATCCCGGCCTTGAGATTTATTAAATCCCATGTTGGAAAACAAGGACCCCTTTAGCTGTTGCCGCGAATCCCTTTGGATCTTAGGAACCTTGGGCCCACTGCATACCAACTAGGGATGCAAAGTTTCCTCTGAAAGCGCCCTACCGTGGATGGACGAGCTTCTTGCGCCGGTTGGGATCAACGAAATATACACGGGTTAAAAGTTAAAAGCACCAAGCGCGAAGCGGATTCTCTGACATGGTGGGCTCCATCTCGGTCCTGGAACTCCTGGAACTCTTCCAGGAACACTTCCGGCAGCACATCGGGGCGCACACTCAGCGCCTGACCTGTGCACTCACGAGGGGGGGAATATGGGCCAAATGAGAGAACCCGCAAAAGGGGTGGTTTCCATGAATCATTTGCTATCGCTTGAAAGCAATGCCAGCAATAGCCTAGAAACCCTCCGAAAAGCTCCAGAACATGGCAAAGAACCCAATTCAAGAACCAGCCATCCCACCAATCCTGGAGCTTTCCCAAAATCCGGTGACCTAACTCAAACCATTCCCAGAAACCTTCCCTCGATCTGCCCGAACGCGGGGGAATCCCGGAACCACCCAAGCCACCGTGAACCGAAGAAGATGTTGGCTTTTGGACTAGACCCCAAAGCTGATGCCAGAGGTCTAGCCGAATGAACACGAAATGCCTTTTGGTTTCTGGACAATGGAATCTGAAACCGCCATCTCAGCCAAAGAGTAGGACCAACTGGATCCTGATCAAGCCACGGGCAGTCAACAAACGGAAGAGCAGGCCTAGCCGCTAGTGCTTGAAAAAGGTCAATTTGCTTGCTGGTTGTTCGGTGCTCATTTGCTCTTCCCTGAAAGACAGCAAGGAAGGATCAGCGATTTTCCAAGGATCAGGGCCAGCTCCTGTCGGCAACGGTTCGCCTGACTATGCGCCATCACTTAGCTTCACAAAGCAAGTAATTAACAGGGGACTATACCCATTTGCCACCTGCCCGAAAGGAAACTCGCATCCTATGAGCAAACACCAAGCCACGCACTAATCACCCACTCCCTTTATTTTGGTAGAAAAAGCCATGTTTCAAATGGGAAATATGTATCTTTTGAGGAGCCCTGTTCATCGAAGGGGCCGAGCTTCACGAAGGTGGGCCCCAGCTCCGTGAGCAGCTCCCGGAGCCGAATCGCCAGCTGCCGCTGGTCCCCCGCCTTCCGCACCCGACGAGTCCCCGCGCTTCGTCGCGGTTCTGTGCGAAACGAAAGGCGCTAGAACGAGTGGCTGAGCAATTGGAGTGTCCGGCGCCCCAAAAAGAAACGGCAAATGCCTTGGGACTGCGTTCTGACCTTTGACATCTGGAGAGTATGGTTGCAATAGGCTGACTTAGTTTGATTCCACTTGGAAAGAGTCGAACGCACAATCGCACACCAACCAGCCACCAAAAAAGGGCGCTCCTTGTACCATCGCGACAATCAACAATATTCTGTTTGGGAAGACCAATTCAATGGTGGTTCACATCAACGCTCTTGCAGACTTGCATATCTAATCCTTTCCGAACTGAATTGAGCTCTAGTCAAAAACGCTCGAGGGCCCACAAGTCGCGGGCATCGAACATGTGTGTGTGTGTGTCGAACAAAGGCATACCCATGGTGACCAACTCCATGACGAGTTTCCGGGTGTCCACGGCAGTGAGGTCTCACATGACTTAGCTGCGAGTCAACCTTGGCAACCTGAAGGGCAATTGTTGCAAGTCCAACATGGCGGGGGGGGGGACCTTCTCTCGTCTGGTAGCACACACGGACAACCTACGGACAAGGCGGTGGGTGAAATGCCAACATTGAAGCATGCATGAACATGACCAGAAGGGAGCTTCAAAACGTGGCAATGACGGTGAAGATCCAACCACCAGTCAATGAGTGTTGCTTGCCAAACCATGATGTGCAACCTGTAGAGTTCCCAAAGCAGGTGTAACAGGTAGCCCGCAAAATAGTTGCATGCATGATGGTAAAGACAAGCAGAAAGGCACAGGCCAGCAAATATGTAACCGAAGCTCGCAAATATTGGTGCGATCTGGATGTTCACTTGTTTTCCTTTCCTTGTGTGCGTGAAACAAAGACTTTGGCGCGAACGCAAAGTTCAAACATCATGCTCCATTCTGGAGAGATGGTCCATACCGGACGCTGCTCTTTAAGAGCCGTCCCAACAGACGTGGTCTGCAGCATTGCTCAGCTCTTGTCGGAAAGCTGAACATCTACACAGTTGTTCGGAAGATTCCACACTGCATCATGGCAAACAAAGGCCATCGCAAACTTTGCAATGCAGTGAATCTGCACGAAAACGCAAATTGCTATAGCAGCGACTGTCAGATAGTGGTACAGAGATGCTACGATGTACTCATACAGTGCAGGCAAAGGCCGCTCTAAGTCGCACACCTGCTCCCAAGCGCTGGACATCTCTATCCTCAGTTCGCATACTTTCCTGACCAAAGTCAGCAAGGACATGAGCGAAGATGCATTTGCCAGCAATAGAGCAAGCACCACCTGATAGTCGACATCTGGCTCGATCATGTGCGCCAGCGCAAAGAGAGTTGTCTGCAACTCCAGCTTGGTGCAGTTCTGGCACAAGTTTATCAAAACTGCTTGAAGGAAAACCAGGCGCCCCGCCATGCCCATAACCTGGAGACCGCGATTCGCATTGCGCGACACCTCGTCCTTTGCGCGCTGCATGCTGAGCTCAAACTGTGGGTCTCTGAGCGCACCCATACGGTTCGCGAACGCAAGTTTTGTGAGCGCATCCGCATGCCAAATCGTAGTGCCTATCCACGTTGTGTAGCCATATGGCTCCCCCTGGTCCTCGCAATCTGACGACTCATACTTGCGATTGATCCCCATACGGAAATCCACGCAGCGGCATGGCAAAGCAGTCAAAACATGCAAAGGCAGCTGGACTATCAGGACACCCCAGCTCAGCAGCATTATCAGTTTCAGGTCTCTACCAGCCGAGATCCAGCTCACCTGCGAGGAGTCCCATACCGATTCCCAGGCCACAGAGATCTGGTCCCAGCCCGGGCAGCTGAAGCTGCGCCAAGTGGAGGCCAAAAGCAAACCCTGCGTCATGACGTCCGCGTGGGAGGTCAAGCTTTGGACTCCGGTGAAGGCCAGCCAAAGCCCGAAGGGAGCCTTGCCCACCAAGGGCACGCTCAGTTCCTCCAGCCACTGGGCCACGGGCACGATAGTGTACATCAGGCACCTCCACTCCACAATGGCCAGTGTCATCAGAACCGGTAAAAAGGTCCACCACAGCCAAAGAGGGTACCTGAACTGGCCAAAGCTTGTGCACGGTATAAGGTTGTATGCGAACCAGGGCAGACACATGGAATAGGTCCAGGAGATGGCGGTGCAAAACCAGAGCCATCGCAGTGCCGGACCGGACACGTCAAACATCGTGAGTTTGTGCTTCTTCTCCTCGCA